GGCGAGGCCCAAGGATCCCGTATTGAAACAAACGCAACTCACCAAAGAGCACCACGAAGCGATAAGGGAGGGAAAGACAGAAAGGACTTCAGCTGGAAAGACAGACCGAGTGCTGCACTGGGAATAACAGCCCATCTCAGCATAATCCTTATGAGGATTCAAGGTTAGAGATCTATGCTTGGGGTCTATCCAGTCATCAGGGACAGAGCCCTCAACGCTGGGCTACTTTACATCTCCCAGAGGCTGCTGGCCCACTTTGATCCTGAGGTATCTTTACCTTTTATGGGAGGGACCGCCTGCCGGCGTCACTTACCACAGTACACTCTCAGGTCATTGGTAATAAGGTGCCAAACTTTACTTACCTTTCAATACCTCTGCCTTAGCACATGGCAGCCGCTCAGTAAATGCTGGTTGGTTATTTAATTTTCCAATTTTCAATGCCACAAAAGTATTGTATTCTATGACTAACATGCACTATAGTACATAATACCATCTCTCTCATTAACTGCTGAGTGTGTGTGTTTTAATCTCTGAAATAGACGATAAATACTCTGTAGGCAAAAATATGTCTTATGTTTAATACTGTGCTTAATACAGAGTAGATCATTTTTAAATGATTGATTTATCACAGCAAATTCATAAATTTATGTTACCTAAAAGGTAAAAATTAAAAAAGGTTGAATATATTAATAGGTTCAAAGGGATTTAGCTAGCTAATTTACAGAAAAGTTAAAAAACAACAACAACAACAAAAACCCACAAGCAATACTCAAACTATCAAGAGTTATTTCCGTAAGACAGCTAGGGTCATTTTTATATTTGGTGTAAAGAAAAGTACTGAAAGCAGAGTACTAATGAACAGTATGTCAAGTATAGCCACAGCAGAATAAAATGTTCCTTAGTTGTACAGACTCTACCTCATGGCATTTTGGAGATGCTATCTGCATCTAGAAATAAACAGATTGATCACCACTATAAACAGCAGAGGCGATGGATACAGCAGGGGAATTAACTGTAGCATTAACTAACTGCACCAGTAAACAGAGAGATGCACACTACAGAGAGCACATACTAGGGAGAGTGAAGGAAGGAGACGAAATCATTACTTGTCCAAGAGTATCTGAAAAAAGAAACACTCTGTCACTAACAGTATGCCAGTAAAAAGTTTCCAGATGTATTCATTCCAAAACTGTTTACTGAGCATCATGATGGCACAAAGAATAGCAATGTATATCCACAGAAGGTACATCAACTCTTTTTCTGATGACTTTCTTTGAAGCCCTCTGGCATACGATTCTTCTTGGAGTACGTAGATAAAATAGTAATAAATATATAACTCAAATGAAAAAGACTTTTTTTAAAAAAACTTAAGAAATGAAAAGAAAAATAAATATGAGACATATTGGTGTTTGGGTCCAAAATTTTCCAGATGGTCAAAAGTGTCAAGGTCTGGCTCGTACAATCAAGGAAAGATTTCTAGGAGCCCCAGTTCTCTGAGCTTTCCTGGAAACGGCTCCCTCTTCAATATGTGGCAATGTCTAGCCAAGATGAATCCTCGACTCTGGCACATGGGGCTTAGGCAAAGCCCCAAAAACCATTTGGCAAAGAAGAATTCACACTATGATTGGGAAATTAAAAGAAAAATATTCAACACTTTTTTAGAAAAGAGCATTTGGCAGGAACAGAAAGTCCCCCAAGCACCCCTTCTTCTAATCCCTCAGGACCTTCCTCTTCTATCCTTCCTCCACTTTAATAAATCTTGCTGAAGGAAGATAAAGGACAACAAAAGCAACAAACAAAAGAGTGAAGGTTATAAGAGCTCCTGGAAACGTGGGTAAAGCATACCTGAAATACCTCTCAAAGAATCCCTGCCTAAAGTATCTAATTTCTCTCAGGCTGGAAAAAAAAAAAAAGCCCTCCAAAATAAAAGAAAAAGAACATCCTCTTAAAAACCAATTATATAGCTCAGGATAGATTATAGTTAAAAAGATAAGAATATGCTGCTGAAGATTTTCATGGGTAGATTACTGTCTGGTGACCATGGTCTAAAGACCAGAACCAAAGCACAGTGTAGCACAAAAACAGCCAATGGAGAAACTATACAAATGGTATCCAATCATTTCCAGCTTGGAAATCCACACAGTAAAGAGCTGACTCTCCATTCTATGTCAAATTTACATAAAAATAAAGGTCATCAGTTTTCCATGGGCTTTATAAATAATAGAGAACTGAACCAATGGGCCATGTGACTATGAAGGCTATGGGACTACAGGGGCTGCATGTAAATAAGGGAACAAAGACTAGTCTCTAAATTGGTGGCTTCTTTGTTAATCTTTGGGAGTCACTAACCATTTGATTTCAGAGCTCAATGTAAGACATGAACCCCATCCACCAGCACACTCACACACATACAAAACTCATATGCACACTAAATTTTGTAAACCATGTCAAGAAAATACATCCATCACAGGTCCCATGAACTCCATGTTAAATACCCATCAACCCATTGTAGAAGAGCAGAAAAATTCTAACGGCAGAAATAGAAACAAAACAAAAAGACTTCACCTAATGAAACTAGAAATTATACCTCTGGTCTTAAGATGTCATCCTCTTAGGGAAACAACTTAACAGGTAACTCAGATCTGAAAATCTTTCACATGCAGATTCTGCGGCTTTGGTGACCTCTTTTAGCTATTCTTTGACCACACTGTTGTCCATAAAGCCTAGTCCAGAAGAGCGTGCTCTAATCATGTTTGTCTCAAACAGCGCTGAATTTCAATCTTCCTGATGGCGTGAGAAAATGCAAGGAAATGTGATCTGTCACATTCCATATGTAGACACTGTCCCTCATTCATTGCTGATCCCTCCTCAAAATGAAAGAAAGCTAATTGGGCTAATCTGTTCTACAACATCTATTTATACTAAGTCTTCAGAGGTTATCTGTGCACTTCAACAAACTACTGGATGTAATGAATGTATTTCTCTTATTTCATAAAGAATTTCAAAGTAAATCTTTTCTGAGTACTTTTCTGGGGAATCTGAACACAATTTTGACCGAAGTCAAAGCCAACTCTAAGGAGCATAAAGCCCCCGAGGGGAAGATGACCTGCCTTTCTCCCAATTAGGAAGCTCCCACATTGTCACCAGAATACAACAAGGATGATTTTCTCTGCACCTTGTTAGGGCGAAGACCTCTCAGTTCTCCAAAGATAATCTTTGATAAGCAAAAATGATATATTGTCTCAAACTCTGTAAATCATGTTATGAAAATAACTTGTGTACTACCTTACAGTAAAGAAGAAATAAACAAAAACCCTATTCTCTTTATGGAAAGACACCATAT